TAATCTGTGGGATCTAATCGGTCTATTGGAGGTAATTGGCAGCAGGCGGTCTCTCAAGTTAGTTTGCATAGTTGATTTTTTCATGTGCTTTTTGAACCTCACGAACCATTGCTTCCTGTTTCCCCACTTTTTTTCTCCCTCCCCATTCAACCCCACAGGTGGAAAGAAGTCCCCGGCTCCTGCGTCGCCAGAGGAGTGCCTTAATCCAGCGTTGGGAGTCTGGAGCTATTGGCAATGAGGAGACCCGGGATTAGGGGCTGCCACAGCCTGAAGAAGCAATGGGTTGACCTCCTTTCATAAGATACACGAGGGTTTCTCAAGGAGTGCCCCGCGCAAGCATCTTTCCCATCATGCACTCCTTCTATTCAGCCTTTTGATTTGACCGAAACGTTCCAAATGCCTGTCTGCATTATCAGTGTGATCATAAGCAGAAAAGATCCTTAAGCTTGATTGCCTTCTTCTGAGATTTAGATTGGAGCAAGAAGGGAAGACTACGCTTAGGCTGTGAGCTGTTCTGAGGGCTTACCTAAGCAGAAAGATGGGTATCGTTTTAGCAATCGATAAATCAAGTTATGCTCCAAACTCCAAAGCACTGCAGCTATTAGTTTGTATTTATGTAGGGACACCTTGAATGTCTCCTTTAAACCACTTTCTATTCATAACTTTCCCCCCCTACATTTTATAGCTTTGATCCGCAGGGTCCCACCACATGCAATTTTATTTTTTTTCAAGTAGATCCATGGATGTGCAGGTACATTCTGAGCAAAGCTGGTTACCTGGATGATGTCTGGGTACACAAGACAGAGGATTTACCTTTCGGTTTGGGAGCTTGGCAATTAAATGGTTAGCTCCCTGAGCTGATTATGTCTCTGGATAGATATCCTCAGGAAAGAAAGGTGTTAGATTACCAGTTCCTGTGTGACTGATTCTGTCTTATTCAACATGTTGCATGTGAGTTTTGCCCTTGGGTATTTTTATATAGCACAAAAACATACGGTAGGAGCAAGCCCTTCATATTACTCCAATTCATAGGGGGAAAACCGTAACAAAATACATACACCTTTGCAAAGCTCCCTTCTTGTTGCTTGTTTTACAGGAGATGCTGGCTTCTGTTCGTTTTTTAAAAAAAATTAAAGATTATTTTTGGGTAGGAGAAATCTCAAATTGCCGGGCTTTTATAAACGCAGCAAGAATCCCGGTCTTTAAAATTATTTCTTTGGCCCTAAAAGCTAAAAGAGCTAAAAGCCATTTAAGGGAAAGAGTGAACTTGCTTAATTAACTGTCAAAGGGCTAAATCTATAACAGCACCTCCTTTTGTAAGTAAATGGGATTTATTGAATTAACAGGGCATTTAATGCACAATAAAAGCTGACTGGCAGAGGACTTCCTCTGCCTTGCCTATTATGCCTAGGCTGTGTTTCTGCTTTGTGGCAACAGAGAAATGCTTATGTCAACATCTCCAGCTTAAAAAGGTGGGGAAGGATCCTATTTCATCTGGCTGGAGAGAGAGTCCTCCACAAAGGCTTGGTTTGCAGAGGAAACTTTACCTGTCTGACTCATAAAACCACATTTTTATGAGGAAGCAACAGGTGGCTGAGAAATATGTACAAGTTGATCTCATAGAAACGGAGTTTTGGTCACAGGTTAAAACACTCACCGGATTCTTCACTTGCCACACCTTTTTCTCACTTCTGATGCCCTTATGGGATCTGAGTATTGGAGGCAGTATTTGATCAAGTAAAAAAAAAAAAAGAGTAACCTCCTCCTCCCACCCCTAAGCCATCCTTTCAGCCAGTAGATTTATTCTTAGCAGTGCCATATAAAATGCTGTAAATCAGTGTTTCCCAAACTTTTGACATATGTGTACCCCTTCTACAATTCTCGTAACACTGAGTACCCCTCATAAAAAACGCTGAGTACCCTTCATAACTACATTAAAAAATGTAGTTAATGATTTTCACGATTTCATCCAGAATTNATTCATATTCTTTCTCTCTCTCTCCCTCTCTCTCTCTCTCTCTCTCCCTCTTTCCCTCTCTCCCTCCCTTCCTCCCTCCCTCCTTCCTTCCCTCCCTCCCTTCCTCTCCCTCTCTCTCTGTCTCTGACAAGCAGACATCAGAAGTCTGACGAGCAGAGAGGATTCATCTTGTACTTTCATATGAATTCTACTCCAGCTCTCTGTGTGACTGCCGGAACCAATATTTGGCACCTGGTTTGTACTGGCCTGACAACTCTGGTTCAAATGCAACAACAATTGCAAAATGCAACAAAATTGGATTAGTATAAACTCTTTATAGCAGTGGTTTTCTAAGTTATTATTTTCTAGGAAATCTCTTCCCGGGGGAAATGGGCATATTAAATGGATCTTTAGCTGTGTATTGCAAATTAAGAACAGTAAGAAGTACTGTATTGTTTGAAACAGTGGTACAATTTTTCAAGATACTAAGAAAACTCTAGGCGTCTTAGTAACGTAGTTTGATAAACTACTATTAGAAGCTCAGCAAAGATCTTAACTGGGCACAGTTAAGTGATACATGTTTAGAGGGCGATAGTGAGCATTCATTTAAGTTCAAAAATTTAAAAAGAATATAGGAAAGCTGCAAAAGAAAAGAAACATTGAAAATAAACTACAAATATGTCAAGAAGAACATAGAACAGAAAGTTAGAGATGAGTTATTTACAAACTCAGGAAAGTAGATTTACGGTTAAAGATTAATTCTATGGTTAAATAGTAAACTTTCAACTAACGGGACAGAGCAAGTAAAAAGGAGCAGGTCTCTCTTTCTTTGAGCTTATCAAGAGAATGTTGAATAATGTCAGGAATGCTAGATGGCAGATACCACATTTTGGAGTAGAGGTATCTATCCAAAGCAATTTACCTAAAGAGCCCTTACATTATCCAAAAGTGGCATTTTGTTACAAAGCTGCAAGAACAATGGACAATATCTCCTGTGGAGAAGTGGAAGATCTCCTTTATTCCTTAGATATGTCGAAGAGCTATCTGGCTCCAGTTGTGGATTCTTTTCAGGAAAAAGGGTAAGAAAGTTCTTGTTTGTGGGTGTTACATCTGGCCCATCACATAATTTCCTCTATGCTCCTGTGCGATTTTGACACAGATTTCCCAGATGGACTTTCAAAATGTGCTCTCACTAAGGAGCGGAGGAACAGAAGAGCATGACTGGGATGGGGTAAAAGATAAGGACTACTAGGAGGAGAGAGACAGAGGTGGGTTCCTACCAGTTCGCACCTATTCGGTAGAACCGGTTCGTCAAATCTACCGAACCGGTTAGAAGAGGTTCCACCAGTGGACCCGGAAAGCAGGCCACACCTACAGAAGAGGTTCCGAAAGTTTTTGAAACCAACCACTGCCCCCCCCACACACACAGAGACAGACAAGACTGACAGAGAGAGAGAGAGAGAGAGAGAAAGAGAATGGCTGGCAAGCCACTCCCACCAGGTCACATGGCCAGCAAGCCACTCCCACAAAGGAGGCCACACCCACAGAGTAGGTTCCAAAAAATTTTGAAACCCACCACTGGAGAGAGATCACAACTAACCTGAAGAATGGGAGGGAGAATGAAAACAAGAAAGATGCAAAAATTGTTCTGCTGCCTTTCAATGAGTATCAGAAGTGAGGCGGGGGGGAGAGGGGGAAACCACAGAAAGTAAACAATGAAAGGGATTCTCCTGGGATCTGTTTTCCATAAAGGTGCAGTAGGTACAAGTGGAAATGTAGAGAAAAAGAGCCTTAAGAAGGGAGAATAGCCACTTCTACTGAACATCTTTAAAAAAATGCAGTTTGTTTTCTGACCTGTAATACAGGTCACACAAAAGCCACCCTTGGTGTGTCTCTGAATTAGCCACATGATGAGTTGGAAGAAGAGTGTGGATCACTTTATTGTGCAATTGCTCTGTTTTTTTTCAGAGGACTTTAATAAGGACCCGGATGATGTCATGTGCCCTTTAGAATCCTTTTATGCCTTCCCACCATTTCTCTTTTTTTTCCCCCTCCTTATCAGTAAAATATGTTAAGAAAGGACTGAATTTCTATTTAAGATCCCTCAGTTTGGAAATACCCATGCAGTGATACAGAGATATTGTAAATGCTGTGTTTTAAGACTTGGCTCTCCATGCACTGGGCCTGGATTGATTTCACCTACCCTTTTCAACATAACCTACACTGTACGATATCAGAAGACTGCTCCCCACTTCTTTCAATCCATAAATATTTGGGAGCAAATAATTTATCACATGGTAAACAGCTTCTGGATCACTTGGAAAATTATCTGAATTCTGAACTGACTTTTTTTTTTAGTAATGGTGTAAGGGAATGACATAATGTCGTTTGTAAAACCGTGCTTCGCCCCATATATCCTAAATGGAAACTTCACTGGATATTGAAATATTGATAAGGACAGTTCTGATGTCTCTCTTCTACTTGAAGATCCACCTCGGTGATGTTCTGAATAGCCAACCCTCTTGATCTTGTTAGACGTGATAGGAGATTTTGATATTATCCACCAGTCTTTCTGGACCAACTGTGGGGTTCAGGAATAGGAGTTCTGTTAGTGGTTTCCTCCTTCCTAACTAGTTGCTATCAGTTCATTGGGAAAGAGAAGTCAACCCAAGTTACTCCAATTTAAAGTTCCTCAGAGTATCTGCATGAAGCTGTTGATTAAGGTCATTCATAGGCCAGGGATTCATCGATAGGTTAATGATATCCAGCTCTACATATCAGTCCTTATACAGACACTTGTTGCAGTGAATGTCCTGTTCTGATTTCTAGAGATCTTTAGAGTCTGGATGGGAAGTAGCAGGTTGAACCCTAGTAAAATAATTCAAGGCCTTCTAGAAGGATTATGCTCCCCCCTTCAGAACTGGCATGAAAGAATATAGAGATAACCTTGATAAAGGAATGCAAGAATAATTAAAGGGAACTGACAGGCAACTCAGTCCTGAGAAAGGAGAAGCCATAAGAGAAATTCAAAACAACCCCACCTTGAATCCATTTGGTGAAAGAGAAATCAGGTTCTGTTATTATTGCATATAACAGTAAAGTTGTATTCCTGTAATCCTTGTTTTGTTTACTTCTGAACTGATTTTCTACCAATTACCTCCCAAAGACCCGTTAGATCACACAGAGTCGGCCTCCTCCGGGTTCCGTCCACCAGCCAATGCCACCTGGCTACTACCCGGGGGGAGGGCCTTCTCTGTGGCAGCTCCGGCCCTTTGGAACAAACTCCCCGCGGAGATAAGAGCCAAGGTGGCGCAGTGGTTAAATGCAGCACTGCAGGCTACTGCTAGATCAGCAGGTCAGCGGTTCA